GTGTTAGCCAGGATGGTCTCGATCTCCTGACCTCGTGATCCGCCCGTCTCGGCCTCCCAAAGTGCTGGGATTACAGGCTTGAGCCACCGCGCCCGGCCATTGGTGATGTTTTTCTTTGTGGTTGATGATTTTTAAAATTATGTTTTGTGCATTATTTTATGTATTGAGACAGGAACATTCTGTGAAGCATTTGCATTCTACCACACTAGCTTGGTCCTAGTGTTTCAGATCCAACGTCCTGTGAAGGATCTGAAACAAGTTCAGGAGTCTAGAGGAAAGTAGGTGGAGTGGAGGCCTTTAGAGGATACATTATAAATTTTAGATTTCATCTGAAGAGAAATAGGAAGCCATTGAAGGTTTTAAAAAGCAGGTTCCTGAAATGATCAGATTCCTCTATTTTAAAGGTCACTCCAGCAGCTGTGTGGAGGAGAAAGAATTGGAATGGGGCATGTGTAGATGCTGGGAAATGAGTTAGGAAGCTATTGCAGTGATCCAAGTGAGATGATGGTGGCTTCTAGCCCAGCATTCTAACTGATATCCATAATGATGACCCTGAGTGATTATAAAAGGGCTTAATTGTATCACATATATCCTGTTTAAGATTGCAGGAAAATGGGTGATAGGTTTTAATAAGATTTCTCTAGAGATTTATATGGTGGGGAAAAATTATCCTCAGCCACTTGGAAAATAAGTACCCATAGTTACTCAGTGTCCAAAGAGGTCTACCTCTGAAAACATTATTTTCTATTAAAATTCTGTGGTTAATCTACACATGACCTAGTGTTTTCATTTACACATGGAACATGCAGAAAGTAAAGAATATACTATTAGTATAAAATTATTTTAAACATTGGCCCTAAAAATACAGAGGAAAACAGGTTTCAAGCAGGCCAGCTTTTAACATCTACTAAATGAATCTCTCTCAAACATTTGCTTGGCATCAGCACATTCTGCACACAATGACCTTCACACAAACATGGGTCTCATATTTCTGCCGCTGCAAATGCTGATTTTGAAGGAATGAAAGCAATATTGTTTTACCTATGGGATATTTGGGTTTTAATCAAGAGGTTTTGCAATGACAGCTTAAAATGAGGCAGTTGGTATTACCAAAAAAGCCATATGGAACTATCATAATGCTGCTGCAAATGGTATCAATTAACTGGTTCATTTTCAAAACTTCCATTTAAGTGAGTTTGATCACAGAGACCTTGGGAAAATAAACATAGGATTTTATTTGGGGGAGGGGTAGGATGGCAGAAACCTGACAATAAAAATAGATTCTGTTTTTAAATTAAATTAGAAAAAATAATACATGAAGGAGGAGATTCACATCTAAAACTCCACAGTGAGAGATCTAGTGAATATAAACAGCCTTTTTATTTTGTTGATTTATATGTGGTTTAAGTTAGACTATTTCTACATGTGAGGGGATTTAGATATATGTCTTTCCAAAATCTTCATTAATCTAAAGCAAGTTTTAAAGATTGGCAATAGCAGCAATGCTCGAGGGAATAATCAATAGGAGAGATAATACAAAAGCAGATTTTGAGAACTAAAAAACCACTCCTTACTTTTTGCTGATTATGCCACAAACTCAATGTTTATATCTAATTTTCGTATCTTATTTTTATAAAAAGTAAAGAGGTTGGATAATAGACCTCATTTGTGAAAGTTCTGAGGCCTCTTAATTAAAAGGGTCTATAAGTGATTAAAGAACAATATGAAATTAAAACTCAAGTGGAACAAGCAAATTAAGGAATGCAGTCTTCGAGAGAGTGAGTCATATAAACCTGGTGTTGCCAAACATGGCTTATTTGGCGAGATTCCTATGGTGATAAAACAAATGAGATTTTGTTGTTGCTTACTATTTTCTTGATGTTTACTCCTTGAAGTTTTGTTTTAAAAAAAGTTCTTAGAATAATACTTCCAAAAGTTAGGTATAGAAGAATGAGAACAGGACCCACAACAGATGGGGGTTCTAGCTCCAGATCTTCCATTAACCAATTACAGCATGTAAGGCAAGTTAGAGTCCCTACATGTTTACCATGCTATGAAGATAAACAGGAAGACGCCAATTACCTCTGCTGTCATTATTAGAAATTTAGTACCAAATACTATAGAACAGCACAGTGATGGTTAGGCTCACAAGCTTTAGATGAGTTAGACGGCTTGAATTTAAATCTAAGTTCCATCCCCTATAAGTAGTATGATCCAACACAGGTTGTTTAACTTCTCTAAAGAGGTTTTATTCATAAACAGGGATATATACATACAGTATCTTGCTGTAATGTCAATCAAAAGAGCTAATGTGTTAAAAAAATTTTAGTGCTGTGCTCGGTATACATTAAGGCAGGGGTTCCCAACCCAGTCTGTGGTCTGCAGGAGGAGAGTGGTGGGTGAGCAAGTGGAGCTTCATCTGTATTTACAGCCACTCTCCATCACTTGAATCACCGCCTGAGCTTCACCTCCTGTCAGATCAGCAGTGGCCTTAGATTCTCATGAGGGTGCGAACCCTACTGTGAACCTCGCAGGCAAAGGATCTAGGTTGTGTGCTTCTCGTGATTATCTAATGTGCCCTCCCACCAGCCCCTGTTTAACCATGGAAAAATTGTCTTCCATGAAACTGGTCCCTGGTGCCAAAAAGGTTAGGGACCACTGCATTAAGGGTTCCACAGATATTGGCTGGTATTACTATTATTAATTATTATTGGCAATATTACAAAATATCTTTTTCCTATGAGATACTTTATCAAGTAAGAAATTCTGCAATTATATAACCATAATAGGAAAAACTACTTTGTAACAACCAAATAAAAAACATAAAAATAATTGTAAAACTTTAGCATAGTAGCTGATGATGATCTCAATAAATGCAACTTCTTTTTTGGGAGGGTCATGGATCTTTAATAAATACCATGGACTCCAGAAAAATACACATACGTTCTTAAGAGACAAAATGTTTCAAGAAGGACAAGGATCTCCAAAGTCCATTCTTGGATGTCTTTCCCAGGTTAGAAATCCAGGGTCAGGATCAGTGGATGCAAACTAGGGGCCAGAGAGCTGAATTGGACTTGGAGATGTGTTTTGTTGGCCTGCAGAGAGCCTCACAATTTGTCAATGTGAATGCCTCTAATAGGGCAAACATCTTCAGTGCACCATAATTCTACCATACTCTGTGGTACTAATCTCAGGCAGCTTCATTTTTTTGGGCAATTTGCCCAATCTCTGTAGGCCTCTGAGTTCGTGACATTGGCTTTACACACTTCAAAATCTATTCTGTGCCAGACTGGGTCATTCCACTCTTACTCTAATAATCAAGCGGGCTTTTTTGTACTAAGGAAGCTGGCAAGATAAAAACCAAACACATTTCCCTGACTCGTTTATAGTTAGGGGTCCACATGCAATCTAGGTTTTGCCATGCAGATAAATATGAGACGTGGGAAGAGGGTAAGATAACATCAGGTGGCAGCCACAAGTACAAGGATCAGATTTTCTGCATGGAAGATGGCAAAAGCCTTTGGTTCTTCTAGGCAGCTGTGGCACAGGTTCCAGATCTAGTCTAGAGGTTGGCAAATCAAGGCCCGTGGGTCAAACTGGGTCTACTACCTAATTTTATAAATAAAATTCTATTGGATCAATAGTCATCCCTGTTCATTTGCATACTTTCTACGGCTGCTTTTGCACTACAACAGTAGAGTTGAGTAGCTGTGATGCAGACCATATGGACCATGACGCCTAAAATTTTTACACTCTGGCTCTTTACAGAAAAACTTTATTGACCCTTGGTCTTATCCCTAGATATGGAGTGGTAGGTGACAGGTGCAGATATTCTTATGATGTAGCTTCTCCTAGTTACAAAATATTCCTGCTTCTGCAGCATCCAAGCTTAGTTGTCTGGTTGTTCAATAAATGCTGTAAGTTACCTAATACCATGCAATCCCCCTTTCTGCTGAAAATAGCTAGAGTGGTTTCCACTGATGCAACTAAAAACCCTGAATGTGACAGTAACAAAAGACAAATAATTAGGATATGAAGTAAAAAAAAAAAAAAAATACTTACATTGTGTATCATCTCAAAGTATTTTTGACAGGCTACCTGGTAATGTGTCCCCTTTGCTAAATCCAAAATCTAAAACGAATGAGGAAAAAGAGAAATAAAAATTAGAAATTCAGTTTTCTTCTAAACCACTGTAGCTTGCAGACAGTTGTTGGCCTTTTCATAATCTTCATTCCAGACAGGAAATGCAATAAATCATGAAGCATGTTGTACTTCTGCAGCCTGGACACTGTGATAATTCTGACATTATGCAGTAGTGGTTTAGGTCAGCATTAAACCACAGATGACAAGAGATAGTGAGTGATCTTTCTGACCTACCAACTGTGCATTTTAATAACTTTACCTCAACAAGATGAAAATGGATCCTGGTATGATGACTTTGACAGTTATTGCCAGGACATCATATTGCAACATCTCTCCCAAAACTGTAGATAGAGATCTAGTAATCTAATGGTTGGTGCATGAAGCAATCAAGTATACTATTTAGATATTTACTTTCCACATTAATGGTTTATACAGATACAGTATGAAATACTGCTGTGTGCCCATCAGGAAAATTTAATGTAAACCCTTTTGGAAAAGTATCTGTGAAGAGGGAATGCGTTTCCCTTCAGTCAGATTTGTCCTTTTTGAAATGAAGTTATGTCTCGCAAAGCTCAGCAGAATATGAGAGTGAATAGTCTATTCTGAACACCTATTAGGAACATCATCCTATCTTCTGTAAATACAATTTGCTTTCCAATTCTACTTCATGTAATCTCTTCAGAGCGGTGCAAACTCCCATCCTTATCAGCAGACTGCAATGCCAGTTGAAATTTGTAAAGTTTCATTGCCTCCCCCAAGCCCTCAAATAAATAAAACACATATTTGGCCTATTTATCAAATGCAGTAAAATGCTGGAATTAAGAGATAACCTCAAATGAAGGGAAACATAATTCTGGAGAAATGTTAATTTCTATTCCTTTCTTATTTTTTAAAAAGCTGACCTTCCTGTCACAAAAAGAAATGAACATGGGGTCTCGAATTCCTGCTATCCTCATTACTGAATATAGCTTAACATCATTTGACAGATACACAAAAAAATTACAGTTACAGAACAGGCATTATACAATACTGACGAGAATGTGCTTCAAAAATTGTTTTTCTCTGATTGTCTTATACATTACATTTCTGAATTTCATGTCACCTTTTATTAAATCATATATGAAAGACCTGTGTAAATGCCAGCCAACCGCAGAGGCCAGGATTCTGCCAGTCTGGCCTGTCTACCTTTCTTGAATTATTAGAGCAAAAAGTGAAAAATCAATTTAAAATGAGACTTTCTTCATTTTTAAATTTATTCTGCAAGTTTTCCAAGTAACACTAACACTAAGTTCATATTGTCTGATGCTCTTACACACAGATTTTCAAACTGTGATGAGATAAACTTGCAAGTAATTACTGACAAACATCTATAATAATATATTAATATCTGAATTAGAATTTTGGAGAAGACTTCAAACATAAATTTAAGCTTTAGATGATCCCATAAATTACCTGAAGAGGAAATGGATTCACAGAAATAAAAAAGTTCAACCATATAAAAAGTAAATATGTAACATGATATACATATACACAGTCTAGTATTTATGTTTGGGAAACATGCTATGAAGAAATAAATCATATTAATCATATTAATAAAAAAATTTTTAAAAACAGTAATCCACACGTGTAAAAAACTTACTAAAGAAAACTGACATAAAAGCCATAGAATGTGAGAAAAACAGATGTATTGCAAATTTTAGATTCAATTTTTAGGGTCCATAAATAAAATTAATCACACTACAATCTTCCCTTGACCTGACCCCACTCGCAGAGAGGGCTCTTCCTTCACAAAAATGACTTAGTTTTATTTTTGTTTCATCTTATTAGGATGAATTTTTATTTGAAACCTGCTTGCAAATCTATAAACAAGCCATTCAACTATGATCAGGATAGCTTAAAGAGCTTTAATCATGTCCCAGCATATTTGAGATAAATGAAGGTTTCTGTAAATAAGTAAAGGTGTGATGAGAAAAAAAGGCAATAGAGGTTTTTGAGGTAAACAGGTATTATTGGTAGATACTTTTATCTTCATTTCGGAAATGAGGAAATATATTAAAATCGGAGTATCTGTCTCCTGAGGGTGACGGCCATTAACCGCAGAAAGAATTTTAAAAATCACATGCAAATGAATAATCTTTCTTTTAAAGGAAGATAACTTACATGCTTTTAAAATTAAGATAGAAAACATAAAACATTACTCCAAAAAATCCAACTAATGAATATATAGTTTCAGTTCAGATTATGATCTATATTACAGAGATATAGGAAAAGAAAACGTGGACCAATGAATGAAGTTTGACTTTTTCTCTGAGTAAAATGGGGAGCTAATACAATATTCTATGTGCAGGACTAAAGTGAACTGACATTGACAGAGGGTTCATTTCTGCCTGCTGTGCTGGGAACAGATCGGAAAGGATAGAGGTAGAAAGGCTCATTAAAGGAGTTCAGGGAATAGATGGTAGATCCATGGACCAGGGTGGTAATATCAGTGGCGATGGTAAGTGGTCAGATTTGAAGACAGGAGCATTTCCCACTTCATGGCTATAAAATATTTCTAAAATCAGACGTTCTGCATGAAAATACTCAAGAGGAACCTGTCCTCCGATGTCTTAAAATAATGCATGACATACCACTCAACCCTTTCCCCTGCCAACTAATTTTCAAAATAACTAGTTCTAAAACTCGGGAAAATGCCAATATGAAAAACAAACCTATCATATAAAATAAATGTAAAATATCCAAAATACCACTTAGTAGCCACTAAACAATATGATTAACAAACAGTTTTTTTTGTGTAGAAACAGGAGTATGATACCTCATGTCTCTTAGCATTAGGATGTCTTAGATGCACCCTTTGCTGACTTCAAAATCTTCCCAAGTGATTCTGATGTTCTAGCATTTGTATATGGAGTACAAACTGAGACTTTTTCTGCACTTTGTTTTGTGAAATTTTTCCAATATGAACATCACCACTAAGCACTGTATTAAGATATTCTGCAGGTAACTCTATTTTGATGTTGATACTAATACAACTTGCTGAGGGGGTTGGGTGTCTCCAAGGCAGGAAATACAAACCAAAAATCAGGTGAAGGAAAGAATTAAGGTATGACTAAGACACTAAATTTCAGCTTATGATATAGGATCAAAATTACAAACCTGGCAAACATCAAAATCCAAGAACAGATGCCTAAGGCAGACTGTGTGAAACAGAATTTAGGGTCAAATTTCCACAATATACTTATATACCATGGAGTACTATGCAGCCAAAAAGAAAATCCTGTCCTTTATGGCAACATAGATGCAGCTGAAGGCCATTATCGTAAGCAAATTAATGCAGAAAAAAAATCAAATACCACATGTTCTCACTTATAAGTAGGAGCTAAACATTGTTATACACAGACACAGAAAAGGTAACAATAAACATTGGGGATTCCAAAATTGGGGGGAGGGAGGCAAGGGTTGAAAAACTACCTATCAGGTACTACGTACATTACTTGGGCAATTGGATCATTAGAAGCCCAAGCCTCAGCATCATGCAATATACCCATATAATAAACCTGCACATGTGCGCCCCTGAATCTAAAATAAAAATTTTTTAAAACATATTAAGAAAAAACTAAAATACTCCACAAAGTAATGAAGATGTTGTTAGGCAAGAGTACTTTTTGCCTGTGTTTGTTTCTGCAGCATGGCTTCTGAAAGCCGAGACCTCCATCCTCACAAGCTGGTCTTGGCTCCTAAAAACATAGCTTCCCAAGATGGCAGGCCAGGGCTGCCCCAGAGTGAGGATCAGAAATAGAATAGGTCAGGAAAACACATACTACAAAGAGGTGGAAACCCATCAAGAGAAAGAAATATAATGAAGAGACAAAACAAGAATAGGAAGAAAAATGTGGAAAGCCAGAGAAATGGGACAAGTCAACGGAGTCCATGGCTTGCTATTTATGTGGCTTGTAAGCATCAAAGTCTAACCCACAGCTCACAAAAGACGTTCACTGAGCACTGACACTAACTCTCCAGTTTTCATGTTCCATTCTGAAAGAACCAGAGCACCTTATGAGGTCCTCTTGCATACAGCATTAATACCAAAGACCAGTTTTCCAAAGGTCAGAGGAAATCAAATCAAGGGTCTATTCTGATGCTGGGGCCAGAGGCTTTCTAATTCTGTTTTACAAAAATATCAAACATTTTGAACAATCATATCAAAGACATTTAAAAACACAATTTTTATTTGAAGAAAAAACACCTATAAAGATCTAAGAATATTATACAAATGGCAGTATGACTTAGTTTTTAACGCCAGTATTTCCAGATGAAGTACAAAATGTCAAGTGTAACAATCCACTTACTGTTCTAATCTAGTTCATCAGTAATGAAAAGGCTAAGAAAAAGTGAGTAGTGGATGGGCACGGTGGCTTATGCCTGTAATCCCAGCACTTTGGGAGTCTGAGGCAGGCAGATCACAAGGCCAGGAGTTCAAGACCAGCCAGGCCAACATGGTGAAACCCCATCTCTACTAAAAATGCAAAAATTAGCTGGGCATAGTGGCGCGTGTCTGTAATCCCAGCTACTCGGGAGGCTGAGGCAGGAGAATCGCTTGAACCTGGGATGTGGAGGTTACAGTGAGCCAAGACTGCAACACTGCACTCCAGCCTGGGTGACAGAGCAAGACTCCATATCAAAAAAAAAAAAA